CACTTCTATTTTCCAAATTGGAAATTCCTGTGAAAGTCCATGAATAAAATAACTCCTCATAACTACTTAATCTCCAATAAAAATAATCATTAAAACTGAACTAATAAGGTAATGATAAATAGTAAGTTTCTTACAGTGTGATTTTTTACCGAGATTGTACAAAAAAAGTGAGGGTAACAAATCTGATAAGTCGCAAGTCGCACGGTTTTTTGGGCTTTGGGATGCCTGTGTTGTGACGTCATCAGCGGGCGATTGTGATGTCATCTGCGCGCGGTTTTCAAGAATCCATTTTTTCGACTTATGCGAAAACAGGCAACTTTTCTTCAATGTTTCTTGCAAAATATCCAAAAAGACCGCACGAATAAATGCCATATATCATGCCAAAGATGGGATGTGTACAAAGCAGACCTATAAAATGTGATTGCTTTGGAAAAAAACAATTCCCAAAAGACGAGGTAAAGCTGTTTTACTTGATTTTAAACTTTTTCTCGAAATCTTCAACTTCAAAAAAGACATATGGAGACTCGGAAAAACTGACGTCACGAGATATATTTCTACATTGAGCATAAAAAAACTCAATTTTGCAATCATTCATTTTTGGCCAGCAAGGCCACGTGAGTTTTKCCGGAGTTAAGTTTTATGAGTACTTCGTACTCTTGCGTTGGTAGATTTTAGCTGATTTTGCTGAGGTAGGAAACTCTTTTTAACATGAGCCTGCTTTGAACTTGCTTCTTGGATATTTCTACAGGAGTATCGYAAACGCAAAAAGAAATCAAAGGTGAGCTAAAGATGATGTGTAAAACTGTTCTGGTGATTTAATGTGCATACTTTTCATACTGTCTTTCTATCTTTAGATAATTTCAACACTTGAGCAAGATATTCTTGAGATCACAACACGTCAGAAGCTTGCAGCTTTCACAGATATTTTTGACATCGCAGAATCAATAGCGTTAGAGAAGAGAATTGGCAAAAACGAAGTAAAACTCCATTGTAATGAACAAAATATCGTTGCATCCTTAAAGAAAGGTTTGGAAACTGATGTTGAAGAAAAAACAAACCTCGTCAAAACAACCAACAGTGCACTCAATGACAAAGATATTCCAGCAACAGCAACCAAAGAAATCAGAACAACACTAAAAAAGAAAGCTTGTCAAGAGAAGAAAAATGAAGCARCCTCCATACGTAAGGCGATTCGACCTGAAGTTCACCAAAATAATAACTGTAAAAGCAGTTTAGAAAATAGTGTCGTTACAACTTCAACTACTCCTAGTTGCATGAATTGCGTTCTTTTACCTGGAAATCAGTTTTTCCAGGAAGGTGATGTCACGACTAAAGAAATTYCTTTTGAGGCATCTAATAGACAACATAAGGACAATACTTGCTCAACAAGCAAAGATGAAGTAGTCGTATCCAACGATAAGCAAGATGGTATYTCAACGCAAGTACACCCAGGCACGCTATCGAGAGACTTCAAAGTTGCGTCAAAAGAGAAATTATTTATAGACTCCTCATCCCACAAGRAAAGTCCTATTTTAGCTGATCAAGAAACTTTGCCATCAAGTTATACATTAATGTCGGTCAATATTTCTACAAACGTAACCAAAAACGACCAGGAAAAAGCAACCATAGAAGCTTCTCTACAGAAAAAGCGTATTGTCGATGTTAGCACAGAAAAAGAATGCTTTAGTAACGATAATTGCCGCGCATATGCAATAGAAAACGACCAGGAACTGAGAGAAAACAGACAAAGTGTCTTCCTGGAAAAGGGTGATAATCTTATTTACAATAAAGAAGAATGTTTTGCTAATGATAATGKCATCTCAACGTGCCAGCAGCCTTCATTAAGAATCGATAGCATTCATAATTCTAAGCTTGTTATTGGGCTTTTGGTGGATGAAGTCATTGGTAGAGTTATTGAGATAGTTGATCATCAGTCTAATCAACGCAAGGAAACTAAAAACGACTTGACAATGATAAAGGAAAGGAATGGTGAAGAATTTAATGTTAAAGACACTAATACTACAAGACATCAACCGATTTATGGTGACGAAACACACGAGGAAGTGTACACTGATATCACAGCATATCTTGACTCAAGTGATGGTAAGTTGGTATAATCAACACCGTTATGATTGTCATCATCATCATCTTAAATACACGAATGATTACTGATTATAAAACAAGGAAAAATCTCTTACACTTAGTCTTACACCCAACCGATATAAACTCGTATCTAGTATAGCCTGTGTACATCCGTTTCTCACCCCTCTGAAATATTCTCTCCCTGATTATTTGAGAGGAGTTAGAAAATGATGTACGCAGGCAATACTCGTATCCAAGAAATCCTTCTCAGTGTCCCAACAGAAAATCTTTGGCCCTTTGAAGTGTTAAAAAACAGTTATTTTTATGCTTAGTATGTTATCTTGTGTCTCTGCTACCCCACWATGACTGGATTTGATAATTTCATCTTTTACGTCGGTAGATGAGATGACTACTATCTTGACTYCAGGCCACCACGTCTCTAGTGAACACAGCGACTCCGAAGAGAGTATTTGTTCATGGTCACTTGACCACACTCCAAACAATTCACCCTGGAGTTCCTGTGATGACGATTGCCGTGAGTTCAATGTTAATARCCTGGGCACGAGTCAAAGCTACGCAGGCGAAACCTCGGTAATAGTGTCCAGCGGCAGTAGTCTGCAGTGCGACGTAAATAGCGACCATACAAAGGATTTCGATGAAGATCAAATAAAGGTAAATCCTTTTCCTTCTACATTGAAAACTATCTGTRAAAATTGTAGTCTCCTTCGCATCATGATCTTTTTTCGGGCTTCCTGTCCCTCGGACTGCGAAGGAGACTACGAAAAGTGTTCTACGTAGAACATGTAACGTATTGTGAGTCACTCTACTTGCGCAATAATCAACCATTGTTAATTTATCATCAGATTATTGCAGACTTTTTGTACGACGTTAACGATGTCCGTGATGCGAGGGGTCTGGGACCCGTCAGCACTTCCACYGCTGTAAGGTTYCTTGAAGCTAGAGATTATGATGTCAAAAAAGCCTTCCAACTGTTCTTAAAATACATGGTACGTTTTCATATTACACACAGGAAAMCCAATCAATTATTTATTACCCTGTATATCAACTTAACTATTACGAGCTTTAAYGTTGAAATTTATTGTGATATATGTCTTGCAGGAGTATCAAAACCTCTTTCAAGTAAAGTCTCCATTTAGAGATCCTCTTAAAGATGAACTTGTTAGTGGTCGATTTACAGTGTTGGTAAGTCCAAATAAATGGATGATTAAATGAATGGTTAAATGAATRAAGGGATGGTAGTATGCAGGATAAATAAATGGATGAAAATATGAAAAAATKAAATAGCGAAAAAGGACGAATGATTTGAAGATAAATGAGTGATTMATGAAGTGATTAACAAATTGCCTTATGAATGGACTGTGGTACACGTTCTCATTCTCGTTTGCAGCAGGAKYCAAGCATCAAGAMTGAKGAAACYGCAATTACAATCTTCTATGCTCAGCGGTTAACTTCACGAATAGATCATAACGTTGTTCTACAATCAATTTGCTTTCAGCTTGACGAAGCTCTAAGAACGTAAGTATATCAAAAAACTTTTTAAAAATCTTTTAGTAAGACAAGACTATCAAAAGGAGCGTTTATTTCCTCTCTCTTTGACGGTGAAACTATCCACATCAGATAGCTTGGTGGACTCCGCCAACATCTTGAAAATCAATCCATACAACCAGTGTTGTAGTTGTTATTGTTGTTGGTGTTGTTGTTGCTGCTGCTGCTGCTGTTGTTGTTCTTGTTGTTGTTGTTGTCGGTGTTGTTGTTGTCGGTGTCAGTTGTTGTTGTTGTTGTTGCTGCTGCTGCTGTTGTTGTTGTTGTTGTCGGTCAGTTGTTGGTGTTGTTGTTGTTGTTGGTGTTGTTCTTGTTGTTGTTGTTGTCGGTGTTGTTGTTGTCGGTGTCAGTCGTTGTTGTTGTTGTTGTTGTCGGTGTTGTTGTTGTCGGTCAGTTGTTGTTGTTGTTGTTTTAAGTTTTGCATAATATAATTCGATCATACGATCAAGGGTTCGAATCCGAGTCAGCTGTATTTGAATTGTACAATTATACATAGGCAACAATGTTCTCAATGCTGGTCTTGGTCGCTTTTTTCATTTTTTTGTATAACTGCAGTGATACTGTCAATTTTTCCACAGTGAAGTAATTCGCAAGAATGGTATAATTCTACTGTATGATTTCACTAACGTCTCATACAAGTCTTCCAATATGAGACTTTGCGTCAAGATCTTAAATTTTTTGAAGGTATTCATAAAGTCATTTCTGTAATATTCGATTTAATACTTTATTTTTTCAAGAATGTTAGAATATTGTAGTTTTACATGAAAAAGTAAAGTAAGAGGAAAGGAAAAGTAGGAAAGAGAAACAAAAAAAGAATATATCGTTTATAAACATTATAGAAATAACATTTTGTACATATGCAATGGTCGCCGTTGGAGAACTTTGTAGAGTTCTTATTTAAGGCTCATACGAGAGAGGGGACCTATGCAATAGGGACAACTGAATTGTGTATTTATTTTATTTTAGAATATTTATCCAGTCAAGCTGAAAACAGCATTCATCATATCTCCGCCATTTTGGTTTACAAAAACAATAAATGTGTTGTCTAACTTTCTACGAGAACTAAACGACGTACAAATATCAAACCGAGAACAACTACTGCAATGCATGGAGGGATCGCGCATTCCCGAGAGCTTCGGCGGTACATTACGTCACAATCACGTGTCATGGATTAACCAATGCCTTTATGCGCACTCAAAACGGCGAGGGTTTGGAAAAGAGGTCTCCAAAACAGGATATCGATTGGTTAAATCATCATTATCGGCCCCAAACTCCAGGATAGGTGCGAGGTTACAAAAAGAAGCGGTAGACTAGGGGTTAATGAATAATTTAAGTGCGTCATATTTATTCAGATATCGAAGACAATTTTGTGCATTTATTTATTCTTACACATTTGAATTGAAATTAAAAATATTTTTTACATTGAACTGTGAATGTACAATCAACACGCTATATCAAGTCAGCGTTCCAAATTTAAATTCAATAGAATATTAATTTAAATTCATAGAAGTTAACGCAAAATTCATCATTTTTTACATTGGATTTTTTTTAAAACGTTGATACACAGTGTGCATTGTTCTAAATTAACTCAAGACTTAAAACTAATACTTGAATGTCGTAATTACTAAATCGTTATAATACACTTTGCGTCACAATATGACGTCATGCCACTGGTTGATGACGTCATAGTCTTAAAACTCTTCACGTATAAAGAATACCAATCCTATATCCGGTTGACATCATATTTTTTGGTCCTGGTTCGCTTGATGTGACAACCTGAAGGCAAAGGTTTTTAATCAATAAAGGGTTTAACTCAAAAATATGAATAAAAAATGAAGTTGTGGAGTAGTGTTCCCAAAAAGAGTCTCAATGGGGTTAACCGTGAGTCGTGAAAATGAGAAGAAACATTAGCCGTGATGCAGCCACACACCCCCTCCCCCCCTCCCACATCACGACTTGAGAAGATTATTATTTTTTCCTTTTTTTTTCGAAATAAGAACCTGTTTTAGAATTTTAGCCTAAAATGGTTCTTATGTGAAGGGTGCTTAAAAATGAAATTTTTGCCAAACAGGTTCTTAAATGTTACGTTCTTATACGCGGATTTTTACTTTATTCTACCTAAAAAAGTAAAGAAACCAATAGAAAATAGGGCATGGCTAGGTCGAACAGAMTTGYGTGGACACATTGCACTGACGTAGTCTTACATAAATGGCCGACTGGCAAATAAGCAACGAAAGACTCAAAGTGTGTTACCTTCGCCTTAGCTTGGGCTGGTTTCGCATCGTTAACTTKGGATCTGAACATGAAATCAAAAGAACGTGAGACGTAACTCGACCGTAATACCTTGATAACATAACTTGGTTGACGAATGGTCTTATTGATCTTTGGTAATATTGATGATTGTATGACAAGATAGCGATGATAATAACGGTGAT